CCGGGCTCCACACCCACCCAAAGACAGTGGAGACAAAGCAAGTCCCGAAACCACAAAGCGATTCTCCCAGGGAAGGAAACGAATGAATGCACGAAGAGCACTTTCCTTTACGGTTCAGTTTCCAATCTCCCTAAGAAACTGTGGCCCACACTCTGCAGTGAGAGACCCCCCTCCCCGCACGTTCTCTACTGGGCACGTGTGATCCAATCCACGCACAGCGGCCTGGGCCTGAAAACCACCCACTCTTGTCACTGACATCGGACAGAAGAACGCCCTATCCATGCACCAGGGGTCTCCCCGGCAATGCTTTGCATCCCCCCTGGGACACGACATGGAATTTCTACCTCACACGAGAACGCGCGCTGTAATGGTTGCATGAGCCTGGCGTCAGGAGAGATGCAGAATCTCAGAGCTGCAATAACATGAACACAGAGGGGGAGGGCAAGGAGCAGCCGCCAAAACCTAATGACTGTCAGTTCGTCCTGCTTACCCGCCAGAGCTCCATGTGTGTCCACAAGTGAGTTTGTTTGTTCTCTTTTTATTTTTTTCTGTTTTTTAATCCTCACCTGAGGATATTTTTTCCATTAATTTTTTTTAGAGAGACTGGAGGAGAGGGAGAGCGGGGGAAGAGATAGAGAAACATCGATGTGAGAGAGACACATCGACTGGTTGCCTCCCACGTGCACCCTGACTGGGCCAGGAATCGAGCCCACAACCGAGGTACTTGCCCTTGACAAGAATCAAACCCGAGACCCTTCAGTCCTTGCGCCGACACTCTAACTACTGAGCAACCGGCCCAGGCTGTTCTCCTCTGGCCAGTGGTCAAGTACCATCAAGCAGCATCTCAATTCAATATGTGCCTGCACCAGCATTCGAACATACTTTTAAAAAGCCAGATGGTGTAAAACTACACCTAGTATTTAAAAATGGGCACATGAAATGGACAGGAAAAGGGGTCTGACTGCATGCCTACCACTTGCCACCCACTCAACCTTACATGGCAGGAGGTGCTCACACACGGGCGACCTGCGACGAGCTGTGGACTCCCTCGTGCTGCAGGTGAGGAAAGCAGGGCCTGCAGCAGGGAGGTGAGAACTGCCCAGAGCCACACGTGGCAGCAGACAGGAGCCAAGGCCACTGCTGCTCTGCCCAGCTCCCACGGCTCACAGACCTCCCGACTGTCCCTGCTCATAAAGGACCAGTGACTACATTCCCTGAATATGAGTTAAGCCAGGAAGCCACTGCCCTCCTAGAACCAACTGGGAACCCTCCATAGCTGTGTGAACCACTTCCCCCACCATCTACCCCACCTTCCGACGCCACTCTCCTCACTTGGGGGCACTCCTGCCCCCACCCCTAGTCACCTCCCCTGTGCTGGTGCCCTCGCCCCTCCTCTCTGGAATACATGGCGTCCATGACTCATGCCCTGTCAGGGATGTCTGCATCTTTCCAGCAGAACCTCAGCCTGAGGCATGCCTTCCCACAGGAGCGTTTGAGGCCTTACACAGGGACCCGGCGAAGGCTGATTTTGAACACAGAGGCCTGAAATCATACCTTCAGGGCAACCTTGGGGTCAGTCTCCTTGCAAGATCGGTTCTGAATGTGAGGTTCTCTGAGGTCCTTAGGCCAATAAACGCCCACACCTCCTCTCGCCGTAACCCCAACACACACAAACTGGGCCAAGTAAAAAGACACCACAGTGACTTGCGTAGCAGGTGTTTTCATACCCCGGATTCCCACTGACTTTGATATTTCAGATTGATATCATGATTGATGCTTCCTAGTGACTGTCATCGTTGCCTTACTCAGAAAGGACTGGACGAGAAGAGGAAGGACCAATGTGCATGAACTTGGATCCGAAAGCTTATTCTTGGGGCTAGAAACATGACAGCATGTTCTACTCCCAGTCATACTGTGTAGGCCTCGTGACCTCATCCCTTAAATGTGAAGTGAAGGCATAAGGAGATGAAGTTGGTTTCAGGGGCTGTGGGCTGCGTGCTGGGTTCTGTGTTACGGGATCCACACTCTGGGAGCTAAAGGTGAACAACATGGTTCCTTGCTATGCTCAAGTGTCCTCAGAAACTTACAACAGGCCACCCTCTTGGCTGGACAAATGAAGCCCATGACCTTCTGTGTTCGGCATTTTCATCTTTCAGCATTCTGCAAAGCTCTGTTCCCATGAACAGCCACTCTACAGATAAAAGGGACAAACCCAGTCAGGGCCACAGGAGTTAAAGGCCCAATAGAGAGATCACTGGGCGGTCCCTCACAGCCCACATGACAGGTTAGGGCCCTGGCAAGCGGTGTTTTCACCTCCACGGGATGGAAAGTGAGGAAATGAGCTGCAGCTGCAGCAAAGGGATTTGGGGTGAAGTAAAAAGAATTTCCTGTCCGTGTCCTTCCCCCTCCCCCCACCCAAGGCTGTCTTTGATGGGGACAGATGCCGAGATGCTCCAGACAGAAGGAGGAAACCACTGGGTCTGCTGTGGCTCAGGCCATTTCATCCCATGACAGAGGCATTGCTCTGCTTCATACAAGTGACCTTTATCCACATTCAACAATATTTTGCCAGGTGCTGAGTGGCAAGATGATATTCTGGTGACCTTTCAGATACCTGGCAACTGCCAAGCGAGACAGCTGCATGCCATGGCTCCCGTGAGGCCTCTGCTGGTTTTCTGGGGAACTGAACATGAGGGCACAGCCAGCGCCTAGTTTTCCCTCTGACGCAGCTCCAAACTCCAGGTCTTATCCACGCAGGCCACTTGGGTTCAAGGTCAAAGTATGGGTCTGTGTCTACTCTAGGATTGAAACCAAGATTTCAATGGCTCTGCAACATCTGTCCTCAGAGGGTCCTCAGCTTCTGCAGAGTGGCCTCAAGGGGTCCTCCTAGGCTGACAGCGCTCTCAGAAGCCTGAGTCCAGAGCTAGGTCCCCAGGGCCAGCCTGGCCTGACCAATATCTTCATGGTCCATGCATCATGGTAGACAGGGGCACATACCTCACCTGCCTCTCCCTCATCTTTACACTCTGGCATCTCTCTTGGCACCCAGTATGCCCACATATCCGGTACTCACGTAAAATGCTGATGGATTCAAGAAAAAAATGTTAGGAGGATTTAGACCAATGAGGTCAACGGAGGGTCTCCAACCCAAACACCTCCAAGGACCAGAAAGATCAAGCAGATGAGTGAAGACTTATCAAGGCATGTGCACTCCATCGAGAGGCATGATTTCGGTTTTTAGGCACCTTTGACAAATACCTCATGGAGGGGACAGACTAAGGGATGAGGACAGATGCAAGTTTCCTAGTATCCCAGCAGGCTGTGCCCTGACACCACTGGGCATGACCATCAACCTGAGGTCATGTCGTGGCTTCCCTTCAGAGCGAGGACCAGGACCACCTGCCTCTTCTTCCGGGGCCTCCCCAGTCTTAAGCACTGACCTGCCAAGTATCTTCCTGAGGTTATGGGTGGGGTTCCCCTCCCCGCCCCCCAGTATGTTCTACTCCTTCAAAAATGAGGAAGACTCATTCTTTAGCCAATTCCAA